TGTGTGTGTGTGTGTGTGTGTGTGTGTGTGTGTGTGTGTGTGTGTGTTTGCGAGAGACAGAGACAAAGAGAGATAGAAAGACAAAGAGGGAGGGGAAGGAGAAACAGAGAGAGAAAGAGACGGAGACCGAGGGACTAGCTCAGAGTTTCTTTGCCCTCGGCTTCTAGAACGCGTCGGATGGCGGTTTCTTAGCAACGAATCAGGTCTTCGCTACGTACGGTTGCTTGGAGACGACGTCGCGTCTCTCTCCTCTGGCCTCATTCTTTCTCTCCCCATCCAGGCTGTTTCCCATAGTGGCCATGGCCAAGTTCGTTATTGCGGGTAAGTGATACCTCACCCCCCCCCACCCCACCTGCGCGCAGGGATCCCTCTGATTCGATCGCACTGACCGGCTGCTTGTAGTCGGACTACTCAAAACCTTTCTCTTCGGGGGGGTGGGGGGGAAGAAAAGAAAAAAAGAGAAGTAACGGCTTGTTCTTGGAGAAGGACCCGAGACACCCACTGTGTTCTGCCCCTTGCGAGCTGTGCCACTCCGGGCTAGAACCTCTCTGAACCTCAGCTTCCCCATCGGTAAAATGAGGACGACAATGCCCTCTAATCTATACCTCATGGTGTCTTTGTAAAGATCAAATGAGATAATAGATGGAAAGTGTCTTGTATAACTTAAAAGGGACTGCTGTCAGCCGTATCACCATCAGCCAGTTAATAAACATTTATTCAGCGCCTACTGTTTGTCAGTCACTGTGCTAAGAGCTGGGAATACAAAAAAAGGCAAAAGTCCTTGCTTGGAGCTTACAGTCTAACAAGCAAACAAATATGTACAAACAAGCTATATACACATTAAGTAGGAAATAATTAAGAGAGAAAGGCACTAGAATTAAGAGGAATTGGGGGAAAGGCTTCCTGTAGAAGATGGGGTTTTTAGCTGAGACTTAAAGAAAGGTCAGGCTGTGAGCTGAGGAGAAAGAGCATTCCAATCATGAAGGACAACCAGAAAGGATGCCCAGAGCTTAGAGATGGAGGGTCTCCTTCCTGGAACAGCCGGAAGGCCAGTGTCACTGGATCAAAGAGTGCATAGTGGAAAGTGAGGTGTATGAAGACTGGAAAGGTAGGAAGAGGGCTAGGTTATTAAGGGTTCTGAATGCCCAACAGAGGATTTTGTATTTGATCCTGGAGGATTGTCATCATCATTTTCTTCTTTTCCTTCTCCTCATCTCCCTCCCTCTCCTCTTCCTTCTTCTTCATTGTTTTTAGGTCCTTAGGGCCTAGAATCTCTAAAGAGATAGGAGGCTGAGCCTGCGAATCACCTTCCTCAGTCATATATACTTCTACAGACAAAGAAGATGAACACAAGAACACATACCCAGTAGAGGTGGCTGCAGTAGATAGAGCACTGGACTGCAGTCAGGAAAAGCGAGTTCAAATCTAGCCTCAGGCAGTTAGCATATGACCCCTAGCAAATTGCTTCAATTCTGTCTCACTCAGTTTCCTCATCTGTAAAATAGAATAATAACACCTATCTTTCAGAGTTGTTGTGAAGGTGAAATGAGCATTGTACAGTGTTTTGCATTCTTTAAAATTGCTATATAAATAGTATGAGGATGATGGCCACAGAAACCCATTAATTTCTATTTAAGCCATGCTCTTGTCTCTGTATGCCAGAGATCTTGGTGTGGATTCTCAAGTCAGAGAATTTATTTCATTTAGAGTGAGAAGCAGTCTTATTGGTCATCTAAACCAGTCCCCTCATTTTACATATGAGGAGATTGACATCCAAAATAAGTTGAATAATTTGCACAAGTTTATGAAGGTAGTAAGTGGCAAAACCAGGAATCAAATCCAGTATTCTTCCAGAGGACCTAGATTTGCCTCTCAGTTCTACTTCTTACTACATGTGTGGCCTTAGTCATTTCACTTCTTTGTATCTAGGTTTCTTCATATGTAAATGACAGTGGATGGATCTCTTAAGTCATTCCTATGGCTCCAACACTACCCTCAAATCTATATCTTTTCTTTGCTCTAGTCCTTTATTTTTAAAGCCATGTGACTGACAAGCAGAAGTCTATATCCAAAATTCCATTTGTAATCCTTCCCCCCAAACTAATTTACCTTTCTAAATTATTCCATGTGTAGGAGCCCCTTCCCCTAGTTTCTCAACTTTTTCTTCTTTATCATCCTTGTATCTAATATGTCACAAAGTCCAGCTTTTATTTCATAGATTTTTGAAAAAAATTCATCCCTTCTCTATATTCATTATTATAGCTGGTCTCTCTGGCTCCATTTTCTCCTTACTTCCTGTCTGCCTCAAATACCACCATCAGAGTAATCTTCCTTAAACACCACTTCCATCATTCCAGACTCAAGAACCTGCCATGATGATGACTCCCTATTGCCCATTTCCTCAAGTACAAATTCCTTGATCCATAATTTTATCCTATGCTCCTTATACAATTTGATTGTCATCTCCCCTCCAGGCAGTTGGCTTGCTTAGCATCTTCCACATATATTATACCCATGCCATTGCTTATGCTGGGTTATTGTTGTTGTTTAGTGGTTTGAGACATATCCGACTCTTTGTGACCCCTTTGGGGGTTTTCTTGACATTTCCTTCTCCAGCTCATTTTTCAGATGAGGAAACTGAGGCAAAAGTGTTAAGTGACTTGCCCAGGGTCACCTAGCTAGTAAGTTCCTGAGGCTGGATTTGAGTCTTCCTCGTTCCATGCCTAGTGCTATATCCACTTCACCACCTAACTGCCCCCTGCTTATGCTCTCCCTCTTCCCTTTTCTGCTTTTCTGAAATCCTAGTCATTCTTCAAGGTCCAGCTAAAGTCTCATTTTCTTCAGGAAGAATTATTTTCCTGATTCAGCAATATCACTCCCTCCTTTCTCTGATCTCTCTCTCTCTCTCCTTTTTACTTATTATATTGATTATCACACAACTTATCACCCTATATCCATTAGTTGTTTCAAGCATGTATTGTCAATTGGGAGGAATCCAAGAGAAAAGCAGTTGAAAACTAGAGAGCATGTCTCTGAAATGTATTCTTTTATTTCTCTGTTTCATCTCTATTCAAAATGACCACCCTTGCCTCCCTTGCACACTCACACACACACACACAGATTATTCCCTCTGCCTGGAGAGTGCACTTTCCACATTTGTGCCTTTCAGAGATCTAGTCTTCTTTCAAGGCTCAACTCAGGTGCTGTCCATGAAGCCTCTCTTGGTTGTCCTAATTTTTAAATGCTCTAATATTACATTGCATTAAACTTATTTATGCTTATTTTTGTACATGCTGCATTCTTCCCACTGCCTCCCAAGAAAATGGAAGCTCTTTGAACACAGGCATATTTTCTTTTTGTTTTTATATCCTTATAACCTATCACATTGTCTTACACACAGTAGGTGCTTAATAAATAAATTCAATCGAATTCTACATGATTTCTATGTACATAAGTACGAAAATGGGATATGCAACCTATGAATAACAATGTGTAATACCCAAGGGTATGTAAACTGTCATCCTACTAATTTGCTCTCTTAGGTAGTGCATCTTGCCCATACTTTGCTAAGGCAGAACTTCTGGCAGATTTTCTGCAGAAAAATCTACCTGATTTCCAGATACACAAAATTACTCAACACCCTGATGTTTGGAAGGTAAGAAACTATTCCAAAGTCTGTTAGACCCACTAAAAGTCATTATATACAAATTTGACTATAATTGTTAAACTGGCTGTTTCAGATTAGTTTTCTGTAATAAAGTTTTGCTTATTCATGTAGTATTAGACAGGTGGTCATTTTTCATGTAAATCTCTTCAGATCAACTTTTATATCCCAATTTAAATGTTTTAATATGATTCATGGAAATAAATGTGGTTTCTGATTGGTAAGGATAACAAATTTAGTTTCCCCTAGGAATTCAGTATTTATCATTTATATTAGGGCTTCTTAATACTCATCTTCCTTCAAAAGTCTTCAAATTTTATTCAAGTCTTTTGAGGAAATCAGTTGTTATCTGTGAAACTGCTACCTTCTCTGGACATATCTGAGACCTCTTTAAACTATTATTTGCTAGAGACTAGAAATCAGTTTAAGGTGAATATGCCTTAAACCACAATCTAACAGAGTTTAGTTGTTGCTGTTCGGTCCTTTGTTTTCGAAGACCAATGACACCACCCTGTTGGAATCAGGGTACAGTGTGTTCTGCTGTGACTGATCAGTCCGATGTGACTTCAGAAGGCACTACCACAGATTGAGCACAAGTGGTCCATTAGAACATTTAGAGTGGAAGAGGCTCTGGATTGCGCAGCTCACATTTCCTTTGTGCTTCTACGATTCTACGTGGAGAACAGCGCCTTCTTTGAAGCAGGCATGCCACACTGGACATCCAGTGTCAACGTTTTCCATGTCTCACAGTCAATATTAAAGTTTTTCAAAGATACCTTGAGAATGGGGCAGCTAGGTGGCACAATGGATAGAGCATCAGCCCTGAAATCAACACTGGACACATGCTAGCTGTGTGACCCTGGGCAAGTCACTTAACCCCAATTGCCTAAAAAAAAAAAAGAGATACCTTGACAAGGTCCTTATACCACTTCTTCTGATAACCATGTGAGTACTAACCTTGTGCAAGTTCTCTGTAAAATAGTCTTTTGGGTATGATGGGGTTGGGATCTGGGCCCCAGAAAGGAAAAACCTTAGACTTTCCCACATGGCCAGATCTGGCATTCCCCTGAGGCTATAATCCCATCAACTGGCCTTTCATTGTGGACCTCCCTATGGCCCCAGGCCATTTCTCCATTCTTCCTAGGCCATGTGGTCCAGGTCCCTGGAATTGTATTACCTCATAGACTACTTGGCCACTCTTAGATCCCTCCCATAGTCTTTCTGTATATAAGGTCCATCTTGTCTCTATTAAAATGCTTAGATTCCTAAAATCTAGCCATTGCTTACCCATGCTCAGATTCCTTAAGAGTCTACCTAATATGGCGAATCTTCAATAAACCTTGTTTTTGGCTGCAAGAAGGTTTGGGTCAAATTCTTTCGGGCAGGACCCACATGTCATGATTTTGGGATTCCAGGACCCCTAACCTCTAGACCTCATCAGGTATGTATTGGCATTCAAACAACGTGAGCAGGCCATCATGAAAGTGGAGTACAATGCTGATGAATTTCTCTGGGCAACCCAATTTTTACCATCTTCTAGAGCATTTCTCTGTGCATGAATAGTTTAATGCTGACCTGGAGGGAAAGCTAATTCAGCACATAGTCAGAAACCATGGAGCAGAAGAGGAGTGGACAGCTTTCAGAGACTTGGTGTACAGTACTACATGTGCTCATCTGGTCCAGAACACCTGTAAACATCAGGATTGTTTTGACAAAAATGATGAGGAAATTCAGAAGCTGCTAAATGAGAAACAAGAACTCCACAGGGTTCACACTGGAGTCACACGGATCAGTGAAATGAACATGATCCTGGAGGGACAGGCTGAATATTTCCATAGTGTTGTTAACAGACCATCATCAATCAATGCCAAAGCCACTGATCATATGTCTCAGGTTGTAATCACTTCCTCTCTAGCCAAACCTCCAAGTGCAGAAGAGGTACTGAATGCCATCAAGCTCCTCTTGAGTGAGCGGCGAAGCATCTGGGGCTGATTCTATCCCAGTAGACATCAACAAGGCAGGGAGTACATTGCTTATACAGAAGCTGACTTAAGGCTTCCAGGTTACATGGCAAGAGGAAGTCATCCCTCAGCAGCTTAAGGATGCTTCCATTGTTTATCTGTATAAAGAAAAAGAAAACAGGATGTCCTGTGACAACCACAGGGGGACCTCTTTCCTAGTCACTACTGGCAAGATCCTTGCTAGAATCCTCCTAAATCGACTGATTAATCATGGGAAAGATGATCACCTGCCTGAGAGTCAGCGTGGCTTCAGAAAGGGCCACAGAACAGCTGATATGATGTTTGTGGCCCGACAACTCCAGGAGAAATGCCAGGAGCAGAACAGAGGTCTGCATACATTGTTTGTCAGACTGATCAAGGCCTTTGATACTGCCAGTCTGGAGGGCCTGTGGGAGGTCATGGTGGCATTGGGTAGGAATTTAGTCACTTAAATATCAGAAGGACTGAATCATGAGGTACAACTCTTTAGAGCAGTTTTGCTGCATGTACCTTAAAGACACCGAGTGTACTTCCCCCAAATGAACATCGAACTCTTCCTCTTAAGTCACAGTTTGGCTTTTAGAGACAAGGGCCACACAAACCTGATAATTTTATTTTATTTTTAAATAAGCATAAATTGGATTTGCCAGATAACTACCACCTAATCTCTGCATTATTCTTGACTTTCTGAACCTGACAAAATTGAACATCCCCACTAAACTGAGACGAGCAGCTTTTCTTAAAAGTCTGAGCAAGAGGGGCAGCTAGATGGTGCAGTGGATAGAGCTCCAGCCTTAGAGTCGGGAGGACCTGAGTTCAAATCCAGCCTCAGACACGTAACACTTACTAGCTGTGTGACCCTGGGCAAGTCACTTAACCCCATGGCCTAATAAAAAAAAAAAAAAAAAAAAAAGCTGAAAAATTTCTGACAGCTGACGGCTCAGTAGATAGGTCCTGGAATCAGGAAGACCTAAGTTCAAATCCAGTCTTACCAGCTGGGTGACTCTGGGCAAGTCAATTAAAATCTGCCTCAGTTTCCTCATTTGGGGCAGCTAGGTGGTGCAGTGGCTAGAGCACGAGCCCTGAGGTCAGGAGGACCTGAGTTCAAATCCGGCCTCAGACCAAACACTTGACACTTACTAGCTGTGTGACCCTGGGCAAGTCACTTAACCCCAATCGCCTAAAAAAACAAACAAACAAACATAAAGTCTGAGCAAGAGCAAGGGGCAAATGAGCTCATGAAATTAGTGTATAATTTTTAAAAAATAGTTATGTTTCTTTTTAAACATAACACTTAAAGTAGAAAATGAAGTTCTATAGTTTTGTTTAAAAAATAATAAAGTATCTCTTGACATTTTCATTCTACTGACCTATCTGAGAAAGGTCTACTGACCAATCTGAACAACTACTGGTTTGATAAATAAAGGTTAATTTCACTTTCTTTTTCTTGCTTTTTTGTGACTAACGTGGAACTGTTCTGTATGACGTAATATCTATAATGAGTATGATATTTCTTGCCTTCTCAATGGGTACGGGAGGGGGTGAAGTGAGGGAGAGAATATGGAACTGAAAAGAAAATATTTTCAAAAAAAATTTTAAAAGATAAATGTAAAGTATATTTTACTTTTCTACCTAATTTGCTAATTTGTAATTCAGTGCCATTTTAAAATTTAAGGTAGACTTTTTAAAGAATGCTAAGACATCTTATATAAGTTGGAAAGGGTAGCATTTAAACTTACAAAATCTAAATTTTAAGCAAATTTCATCACATTAAACTTTTCCTTGGCATATTTTTTTCAATAGCAATGGCTGAAAGATCTATGTAAGAAGAATCAATGGAATCACGAAAGTTCTCCTATAATTTGGAGAGAGTTATTGGACCGTGGGGGAAAGGGTCTTCTTCTGGGAGGATGTAATGAGTTCTTGGAGCATGCCCAGGTAATAAGTTTGTTAGATACTTACCATCTGTTTGAAATTTTATCTGCTCTGCCTCACACTGTTACATTTATTTTGAAAATACAGTCGATTTAAAAAACTTCTGTCTTCTTCTTCATGTAGCCAATATATAGAGCTCTGGAGCTCACTCTCAACCCCGACTCTACTGACAAGTGGGTCCCCAGAGCAAAGCTACTACTCTCTTTCCCCTCAGAAGTTTAAGGGGAGGGAACTCTCACTTCTAGGTGGGGCATAGCCTTTGGAGGAGTTGCTCCCTTGCTTGAGGGTACAGCATTTTGGCTGGATCAATCTAATAATGCTGGGACGGGTCAAGCAGCTTGCTTCTCATGGCTGGCTCCTCATTTGTTGCCAGCAAACTCCATTATATACTCTAACTTCTGGTCTTCTAGTGACGTTTCTGATTTTTTGAAGTTCACAAGGTAGCCTACTATCTTTGGTCTCCTCCACCTGAGAGCAGAAATGAGAAACACAAACGGGCAAAGAAACTGAAGCACCATGAATTTATGAACATATGTCAGCTTTTATATGGAGAATAGGCCACTGGAGCTACCTCTCTCCCCACCTGGAGGCTTACACCATTTCTTCCTCACTTGTAGCCAGGAAAAAGACTATGATTTGTCCTTGCATGCCTTATGTAAACATACTTGGCTCCAGCTTGGTATCAGATAAACATTTTTCATCACCATGAGTTAAGCAGATGGGAAACTGTCATAAAATACCTGCCCATGTTCTGAATTGGGGGCAGATCCCCTCTATTACTCACAATTGTGAATTTCCAAAAGCAGGTTCACCACATCCCCCAGATGTCAAGGCAGCAGACAGAGTACGCTGTGGAGTAGGGCCCCCATTCCATTCACGTGAAATGAGTCTGTCTTCTTGTGCTAACTTAGGTCTTCTCTCTGTCTAGCTTTACTATGGTGTCACCTCAGAGATGATGACCTCTCAGATGCTGATTATTGCTGGCGAGAACTTGGAGACACATATAGAAATTGAGCAAGAGAAAGAAGACCTTAAAAAGATCAGTCCACTAAGGGTCTGGATCACCGGGTAGGACAGTGGAGCCAGACTCTTTGCTACATTCCTACTCTCCTTTATCAGGGCGGATGATTCATTCCACTACAGATTAGGCAAATAACACTTTTGAGATATATTTTAGTGACCTATTTAAAATGCACATAAATGAAAATTTGCTGCCAAGATAGCACCATTTAGGAGTTCAACATTTCTTTGTTTCCTGAATACGGAATCGATACTCTCACAAAGCGTTTTGTTTGTTCAGTAGCCTTTACAAAGAGAGAGCTCCCTGTTACCCTTGTCTGTAGTATTGTAAATTCTAAAATGTTTGACTGATTTCTACAATTTAAAATCCCTGTACCACAATATACTAGTGAATTTAGGTCTTGACTGAATTTTGGATTGTTTTAAAAACATATTTCTTAGTAATTTTTTTCCAAAAATTTTCCATAACTTTTCATGAACAATAGTCAAGAGAGGCTTGATTATTTTTACTTTCACATGAGAAAATTTAGAAGGACATCCAAAGCAAAATGGTTGTTTATTAGAAGTAGCTCACTACAAACAGGAATTTTTATTTCAGTCATTTGAAAAGAGGCAGTGTCTGTAATTTTGAGACTGCCTTCTTATGGTAGGAGTCAGAATTTCTCATTTAAAAAAAAAACAACTCTAACCTAAAATAAATCACCCAAAGTCTAGGTGTATGTTTGTCCATTTAAAAATATGTGCAGTCTTATTGTATTTAAAGAATTATATGGGTATTTTAAAAAAACAAATTAAAATGTTAAAAACAAAATGTTGAAATTATAAATGTAACAAATGTAAAACATAAAATGTTAAAAATATATACAGCCTCACTATATATGAAGAATTGTATGGTGAGAGTCAAGGTTTAAAGGAAAATATCTTTTCATCATTTATAATGAAGTTATCACATTTTCATCAGTGCATCTTGTCCTACTTGCTACAACCTGATTCCATTACTGGTCAATGGAGAAGTGTTTGGTATGGATAAAGAAATTAGCATCCATCTCCTAAATAACAACTTTGAAGAAGACAGTCTCAGTGCCACTGTGATGGAAGGCCAAGACCTGGCAGCGCCTCTTCTTCGGGAAATCTCCACGTGCACAGTAATAGAAGAGGCCTTTTTTGAGGCTGAGGTTATCATCATACTTAATGATGATATTGATAATGAGTCTGAGTCTCTAGAAAATAGAATCAGAGCTAGGCTTCCTCTGTGTCAATTATTTGGATCCCTGATTGAGAAAAATGCTCGTCGAACTGTGAAAGTTATTGTGGCAACAAAGACCTTTCTAAATCTCACCACCAGTTTGCTCATTACATATACACCATCAATTAACCCACGGAACATCATTGCTGTGGCCATGCTGATGGAAAACGAAGCAAAAGCCACGTTGGCCAGAAAACTGAAAACAACAGCATCTGGTGAGTCATTTGTATTGTTAATCTATGGTGTTTTTTGTTTTCAGAGAGCTAAAACTCTGCCCTCTGAGGTAGGAGTATGAGACCGGCAGTTGGACAGTAAACAGAGGGCACAGTCCTGGTTGTGGCCCCGGCAGAGGGACATTGGGCTCGATACATATCCTTGCTGGGCCTCAGCTGTCACATGAGAGGACTGGCCTAGATTATTACAGGATCCTGGATTGAGAGCTAGAAGTTGCCATCTAGGCCAATCCATTCCTTTGACAGATAAGGAAACAGAAATAGAGTGCTGGAGATGTTCAGGTCATTGGCACCAAAGTTGCTGCCAGCTCTAGCATTTCCAATTCTGTGATCTTAAAGTATAATCTGATTAGTTTACAAACTGCTGTTGTTGTATGTTTAATTAATTTTTATGGCTAATTTATTTTAATTAGCATGAGAAAAGATAAAATGATATAGACTACATGTTTACCATATGAAATAATTAGGTACGGACAAATCATTAGAAGTTATGTAACCCAATAGAATGTAAGCATCCTGAGGGCAGGATATGCCTTCCATTTTTACCTATCTTCCCAGAATTGGCACAGCACTCCCACCTGGTAGAATTAGAGGTTAATAGACTTATGGCTAGGAGGAGCCCTGGGACCAAAGTCTATACCTTCTCTTTACAGGTGAAGAAACTGACAGGCAGAGAGGTTAAATGACTTACCCAAGGCCACACAGGTCAAGGGGCATTTATGGAATCCCCCAAATGCAGTACTACCTCCACTGTGTCATGCTTCTAAATAAATGTTCATTGATTAATAATAAAAATAATAACTACTGACCATTTATATAGCTCATTAATATTTTAAGGTGTTGAATCTCAGAACAGCATTATGAAATTGGTATTAGAAATACTACTGTCCCCATTTTACAGAAGTAACATCTGAGGCCTTGATATATAAACTAACTTGCCCATGATCACATAGCTACTAAGTGTCAAAGATGGGGTTTGAATACAGTTCTTCCTAATTCAAGTCTAGTATATTATCTGTTACACAACACTAAATTGAATTGAACTAAATTTTCTTAAATCATACATCAAATTTTAAAAATTCTAATGTGTTATGTTAGAATGTTGATACTCGGATTTTTAAAATAATTTAATACTTTTTTTTCATATAATATATTTTAAGATTGTATACCACATCACAAGATCTGCATAGACCCAGGATTTGTGATTCATGTGCCCTTTCTTCATTTTTTATAGACCTTGAAACTAATTCCTTAAGTCCCCTAAGTTCCCAGTTTGTGAATATATGATTTCATTCAGTTCAACAAACATTTACTGGGCATCTCAGATAAGCAAAGCACTGTTCTGAATGCTGGAGCTGATACAAAAGTAAATGGCCATTTTTCTCATAGAGCTTATGGTCTACTGGCAAGAACTGATATATGCACATATAACTATAATACAAAACCAAATATGATTAAGTATAATTTTCAACAAATGCTGTAAGGAAGGCATAATGAAATGCAGAAAATTAATGGCATGTTAAGTAGGTAAGAAGCAGCTAGCATGGAGCCTTTCACATAGTAGGTACTTGATGAATAAAAAGACAGTTTATGGTGTTTGATGGGTATTGAAATGATTTTTTGCTATTATCAGCCATCACCCTTACTAGTTATTGAAATGACAATGTGGAAGTTAAGTGAGTGCATGAGTAGGTTGGAAAACAAGAGTATTACAGGTGGTAACAAGGTGCAGTTATAAAAATTGCTGGCTTTGGATTCAGAGGCTATGGGAAAGCTTTAAATCCTGCCTCTTTCACTTACTACCTGGCTTAGTTGGTCTCCAGCATCCAATGAGAGATCACAATGAACAAAATCTGAGCAAAGCAGGTCCTTAGGAAAAGGGGAAGCAACAGTGGCCAGTGGGCATTCAAGGATGTGAGAAGCATTATTTCAGGCAAAATTAGAAAACCTATAAAATATGGACTTGTCTTGAGCTATTGGCACCCATAGACCCCGAATCCCTTAACAAATGACAATAAAAGCTGCATCCATTACTTTACCCACAAGAAAGCTTTAGAAAGCAATATTTCCATTCTGTCCAGTCTAAAATATCAATGTAATTTTTGTTGTTGTTCAGTCATGTCTGACTCTTCATGACCTTATTTGGGGTTTTCTTGGCAAAGATACTGGAGTGGTTTGCCATTTTCTTCTCCAGCTCATTTTACGGATGAGGAGACTGAGGCAAACAGAGTTAAGTGAGTTGCCCAGGGTCACATAGCCAGTAAGTATCTGAGGCTGGTTTTGAACTCAGAAAGATTAGTTTTCATCATTCCAGGGTCAGCACTCTATCTACTGTGCTACCTAGCTGCCTCTATCAATATAATTACCAGAACTCATGCCAAAGTGAACCAGAATTTATCAGGGTAATCTAATATCCATCATAAACACACATGCTTTAGAATAGCTAAATCCTATTGCATAACCAAATGTAAATATTATACCGGTCTTTAGATAAATACTTTTGGAAGGCATAAAACAGCTTGCTTTCATTATGTGTAAAACTTCAGCAACTGTAAACAGCAAATGGTTAAAAAATTCAAACTCCATTTTGAATTAAAATTTTATTTTCTATATGTCTCAGAGGATATTTTTAGCTTCTGTAAATTTACATTAACATGTACAGTGGCTTTTTGATTTTGTTTGCTACTTCATATTCAACTCTTAATAAGTATTTGTTAAGAACCTACTATGTGCCTAGGTGCTAAGGATACAAAGACACACACACACACAAAACCCCAAACAATTCTTTTCCTCCAGGCACTCAAAATCTATTGCTAGAGACAAGATATAAATAATAATAATAATAATAATAATAATAATAATAATAATAATAATGGCTAAAATTTATATAATACCATGTGCTAGGTACTATGCTAAGTAAGCATTTTATAACTGATCCTCACAACAACAGTGTAAATACTATTATTATTCCTATTTTATAGATGAGGGAACTGAGGCAAGCAGGATTAAATGATTTGCCCAGGGTCACACAGCTAATAAGTGTCTGAGACCAGTTTTGAAGTCAGGTCTTCCTAACTTTAGGCCCAGTACTCCATTCACAATGCCATCCCTAAATATGTACCAAATAAATACATAAATTCAAGAGGGTAATTGGAGGGATCAAGAAAGGCCTGGCGTAGAAGATGACCCTTGAGCTGTGCTTTGAATGAAATTAGAGATTCTAAAAGAGTAAGAGATGGAGGTGATAGGACAGTTCATTCCAGGTATGAAAGGTAACCTATGGAATGACACAGAGATAAGAGAAGGCATATTATGCGTCAGGACCTATGCGTCAGGACCAGCAAGCAGGCCACATTGAATGGATGAAGAAGAGTAATATATAATAAGACTGGAAAAATGGCCAGAGCCAAGTTGTAATGGGCTTTAGATGCCAAACAGAAGATTTTTTATTTGGTTCTCAAGGTAGTAGGGAGCCAGTGTAGTTTACTGAGCATCAGAATGACATGGTCAGATTTGTACTTTAGAAAAGTCACTTTGGTGGCTATTGGATTGGATTGGAGTTGTGAGAAATTCAAGACAAGAAGACCAATTAGCAGGTTATAGAATAGTTCAAGAGAGTATTAATGCAGGCATAAACTAGGGTGGTGGCTGTGTAAGTTGAGAAAATTGGAAGGATATGAGAAGGTTGTGGACATAGAGTTGATAAGACTTAGCAACTGATATGTGGGGTAAAGAAGAGTGAGAGGAGGCAAGGATGACTCCTTGATCGTACTCTCAACAGAAATATGGAAGTTCAGGAAAAGGGTGTGTTTAGGGGGAAAGATGATGAGCTTTGTTTTAGATATGTTGAGTCTGAAGTGCCTATAGAATATCCAATTTGAATGGTCTGATAAGCAGTTGGAGATGCGGTACCAGAGCTCAAGAATGAATTATAGATTGGATTATAGATCTAGTGGTCATCTGCATAGAGATAATATTTAAACCTGAAGAGGCTACCTAGAAAGAGAGTGTAGAGAGAGAAGAGAGCCCAGGACCATACCGTGGGGTTCACCTACATTAAGGGGGCTTGATATGGATGATAATCCAGGAAAGAAGACTGAAAACAAATGGTCAGATAGATTAGGAAGAGAGCCAAGAGAGAGCAGTATCATTAATGTATTTGACCAAGAGGAGAAGGAAGTCAATGGTTTTAGATGCTGCAGACATGTCAAGAACATTGAAGAGTGAGAAAAGGCCACTAAATCTGGCAGTTAAGAGCTAGTTAATGCCATGAAGAGAACAATTTCAGTTGAGTGATGAGCTCAGAAGCTTTGCAAAGAGTTTAAAAGTTAGCAGGAGGAGAAATGAAGGCAAGGAGAGAAGACTTTTTTCACCCTAGGAGTTTGGCCATGAAAGGAAGGAGAGATCTAGGATGATAGCTTGAGGGAATAACAAGGTTAGTGAGGATTATCTTTTTGGTTTGGTTTGGTTTGGTTTTTTGTTGTTGTTATTGTTTTCAATGATGGAGAGACCTGGGTGTGTTTATGAAGAGTCTGAAGATTAGAGGGCGCATGTGATTATGGAAGTCTACTGCTGGAGGAGCTAACCAGGAATGGGAACTAGGAAGAGAATAACACTCCAATGTCATTCCCCTACTTTGTATTCTAATTTTAATGCCCCTCTTTCATTTATTTATTTTTCTTCAAAAGGACTTGTGGGTTTGGCTCCAGGGTCCATCTTGGGTCACAGAGGTCACAGTGTGGCTAAGAGATTTGAAATCAATCTCCTCTGAAGTGATCCATCATGAGCACAGTGGTCCAGAGATTCCAGGTTCCTCCCATTCTATGTCAGCCATCTCTCACATAGAGAAAACGGAAGGGGTTTGTCCTGTTGGTATACATTTGCTTGGGGTTTGGTTTGTTTCCACAGAAGGAAAAAGCAGAAGGATTCTGGCAAAGCAGGACTCCAAAGGAAATCCCCTATGATAAAATATGAATGTCTTCAGGCCCAATTGTTCCCTGTTTGTGGGAGTTTTCCTACCAACACCATTCCCCTTTCATTAAGGCTGTGCCTGTTTCAGAAGTCAGGCCCTCTGACAACACCACCACCAGCCTTTGTCCATCCAGTTTCCCTTCAAGGTTTAGTCAGCTGATCCAGAAGTCAAAGGAACAGTTTGTAGGAACTTCAGAAGCTGGAAGTACTGGGTATAGCTCAGCAGAAGTATTTTGTTCCATCACTGTGAGGTGATCATGCCTCCAACAACAGTGCAGCTGAAATCTGGGCCTTCCCTGGTCTCTCCTCTTCCATTGCAGGGATGGTAGAAATAAAAACTGGGCCTTCTGGGGCAAGTTGACATTGATGATCTAGCTGAGTATACTGGCCACCAACTAGACTGGTTGGAAGGAATGACCTGAATTGGGTGGTTATTCTGATGAAGGAACTTACTACCACTAATACCAGTAGTTCAAGATTAAAATTACTTACAGTCTTCACATTGAATCCTCCTATACCTGAGGATTGTACAGTGGGTCTGGTCCCTGGTCAAATATGTTAATGAGTTTCATCAGCTATGAACCCTCTTGAGCTGGGAGGAAGTAGTTTGATGAGAAATGTTTATCTTTCTCCACTCTAGGGAGAATTCTTAACCCAAATGAATAGGGAATAGAAAACATAACAAAAGCCAAAAAATAGACAACTTTGAAAATATAAAATAAAGAAGCCTTTACACTCAAACAAAATCATTTCAGATAGATACAGAAAAGAAACTGTACAGCAAAGAAAAAAATTTGTTCAAATATCATTGATAAAACTGTGATATCTAGGGTAACAGAGAACTGATGCAAATATAGAAGACCGAGAGCCAGTCCTCAATAGATAAGTGGACTTTTTTTTTCTCAAAAGAATTGCATACTATAATATGAAGACATGCTCCAAATTAGTAATAGAGACAAACGTAATTAAAACAAGTTTGAGGTTTCATGTCACACCTTGCAAAACGTTAAGTATTAGAGAAGATGTGGGCAGTTCATGTTAGAGAGACTATTGTGTCTCTGTTGCTAAGGAAAACTGACACACAAATAAATGCACTGTTACTGAAGCTATGAATTGGTCTCATTTTGAATATCAACTTGAAATTATACAAAAACTTCTAAACTGCTCGTGCCATTTGACCCAGCAATCCTATTGCTGAGTATTTATTCCAAAAAAAGTCAAAGACAAAAAAAGTTCCAACAAATACCAAAATATTAATGGAAATGCTTTTTGTGGTAACAGAAAACTGGGGGGGGGGTAGGTAATGAAACACTCATTAATTGGGGAAATGCCTTAGTTTTTTTATGTGTAAAATAAGGAAGTTGAACTTTATGGCCTCTGAGGTGTCTTAACATGCCCTCTGTGCATTTATATTCCTATGAATGCCCCTCCAGCTTTGGAATGTGAATGTAACAGAATGTTATTGTAAGAAATAATGATTATGAGGAATCACAGGAACCTGAGAAGATTTGTATTAACTGATGCAGGGGTAAAATAAACAGAATCAAAAGTACAATATACACTTTGACTAAAACAATATAAATAAGATGGTCAATAAAAATGAAACCAAACACTTGGTAAATTAAAAAACAAATAATGAAATAATAGATAATGAAATATGCCTCCATCTTCTCAGCAAAGAGAGAGAAGATCTCTAGTGTAGAGGGCTATTTACATTGCCAGATGAAGTAACTGGTTTTGCTCAACAGTTAACTTCAAGTTAATTATAACTATGCTACAAGAGAGGGTAAGGGTTCAGGTTCTGGAGAAAGTGTTGTTTCCAGAAATAATTGTGATATAAAAATAAAATTAATTAATAAAACTTTTTTTAAAGGGGGCTATACAAGGAAATAAAAGATTAGCAGGATACTCTCCTATATTTTAAAGAGCAATTTCCCTAGGTTAAGATCCTAATTAAGCAGCTCTCAGGTGGTGTATTTTCTATGTTTACATACATTGTTATATTTGTTAATTAAGTTCTCTTTTTCTAGACATCAAAGATGTGATAATTTGGGGTAATCTTACTGGCTCTCATTATGTTGACCTAAGGAAAGCAAAAGTTTTCAGATATAACAGTGCCATTTGGGGACCTCCAAGCTATTCACGTTACCTATTAAACTTGATATTTGATAGGTATGGCATATTTTAAATATTGTATACTAATCACTATATATTAATGGATGATAAAATTATCAAACCCTTTAAAATAATTTTCAAATATCTTTGTTTCTGCAAAAATGTGATTTAATAATTCAACTTCCCCATATTTACCATGCTACCAATTGAAGTGAATAGATTAGATATATCCATATGGATCAAAAGCCTGGGCACTATAGTTTTTATATTTAACTCTGAATTATATTTATGTGTTAATTGTGTGTGTTAATGTCTGTAATTTTCTAAAGCTTCTCAATGAAAATATTTTCAATCATATGTAATTATTTTAGGATTAAGGGGAACTAGAAAAAGATCACAAAAATGTTTGGATTTTTGATCCAATTCATTTTACTGCATTTGGCCTGGGAGAAGTTCTTCCTGGGATACATTTTTTAAAAAATTTATCCACAGGTATGTCCTTTTATTCTAGTCTTAGGACAGTTGGAATCCAACCCCACACAACAGAGCTATGGGCAATGATAAATGATGTCTGCCACCTCACAGAATTAATTTTGTGGACTGCTTTCCATAGGACTGCAAGATTACCCCGTGTGCACTGCGTGCTTTAACATATTCTGATGGAGATGTAAAACTGTGACCTGGAATGTGTACATATTGTTTAGCTAGGTGGATGACAGAGTCATGAATTTCTTGGCCATAGCAACTCTTAAAGATCATCTCCTTATTTCCATCAATGAAGGGAATACCCACAGTGACAAAATGATACATTCTTGAATTATTGAAGTAGTCAATAATAGACAAGATATATTCCATAGTGTGTTTTTTTTCCATAATGTGGTGGAAAATACAGTTTAAATAGGAACTTAATCTGCCTACAGACTTATTTAACACTTTAGTATCAATCATTCAACAACCATTTATTATTTATGTACTTTGTGCAAAAAAAATGTGCAATGTGCCAGAGAAAATACATAAGTAACTAAGGCATATTTCCTGTCCTCATGTAACTTATAATCTACATACACAGTCATATAGAATATAAAGTTAGTATGTGACAGAGCTCTTAGGGTAGAGTTAGTGTACTTATGTTTATGTTTCAGTTTTCTAGACTTTTGAATTGGAGTTCATTTCCCATTGTTTTTGTTTCTTTTTATTTTAAAGGAGCATTGTATTCTAGTAAAATGATCACTTTCTCTTCTTGCAGTGAGTGGATTAGCAAAGAATTCGTGAAGTCCTTCAATGTGTTGAGTTCGACAAGGTGTTTCCAAAGGGGTATGTCATCGGCACACAGTGTGGCTACTGTACTGAAGTTCTGGTACCGCGATTCCCCTCCAGGAGAGATTTTCTCTCTAGGAATAATGAGTGAAGGTGAATCTTTGTTTTTCATATCATATAATAAGATGTTTCTTTTTCCTGTGCAGAGGACAGACAGTATAATCATGTATACTCCCATCTCTTACATCTGAACACAGCTCCAACAGGTGTCCGATTCTTTTCCTTGGATTGACTTCGACGGTCTAGAATTTGGTGAAGGAGGGCCTAAAAAGGCCTCCTATTCCCTAAGGCTCCCTGGATTCAGTCTGGAAAGATCTAATTGTGTTACCCGTCTTGAATGTGTCCATCTTCCTTTCTCCCTGGACCTCTCTTATAGGCGTCAGTTGTTTTTAGTCCAGTAGTATCAAATTCAAATAGAAATGGATCTTAGTGGGCCATATATTGATTTAGAAAACCACAAATTAACATTACTTGTTTGTATTCTATTTTTGACAGCTAGATGGCAAAGTGGATAGAGCACCAGGCTCGGAGTCAGGAAGACTCCTCTTCCTGAGTTTAAATCTGGCTTCAGACACTTACTAGCTGTGCGACCTTGGGCAAGTCATTTGACCCTGTTTGCCTCAGTTTCCTCATCTGGAAAATGAGCTGGAGGAGAGAATGGCAGACTGCTCGGGTATCTTTGCCCAGAAAATCCCAAATGAGGTCACAAAGAGTCAAACACAATTGAACAACAAAAATTTTATTTTTATTTATTTTGTTAAACATTTCCCAATTACATTTTAATCTGGTTCTGGCTGCATGCAAAGGCCAGGGCCACACTGAGTTTCACATTTCTGGTTTAGCCCTTTAAATGTTATAGAGATAAACAATAAATGGTTATTCATTAACTCACTTTCTGTGAAAACATCCTCCCCCTACCTCTCCAAGAAAACAATTCTCATTCTGAATACTAAATTACGACTTTGTAACTAATTTTAGAACACAATTTATTTATAAATTGAAGACTCCCTGAGTTACATACTTCTGTATATCTAAAAAAAAAAAGGACTTTTGTATTTCTACTTTAGGGATATAAATAAAAGATAAAGTTTTAATTGAATATATAATTTGCTCATTAACATGATAAAGAGTGTTGTGCTAGATCAGTGATCAGAATTCTTAACGTTGTTAGGAGCTGTTATAGACCAGAGGCTCATGGGATTTTGAACTGCAGCTACTTGAGAGAATCACAAAATCTCATTTAGACTGCACCTCAGAAGCCTTTGGTTCAGCCCTTACCTGAGCAGAGATGACCTCTGAAATATACCTGACAAAGAGTCATTCAGTCTTGACTTAGGGAACTTAGGTGAAGGGGAGCACTCTACCTTCTGAGGGAAGAAGCCGTTCTGCTTTCTTTTTTAGACAACTCTAGTTGTTAATAAAGGGCAACTAGATGGCGCAGTGGATAGAGTGCCAGGGCCTGGAGTCAGGAAGATTCATCTTCCTGAGTTCAAATTCAACCTCAGACACTTACTAGCTGTATGACCCTGGGCAAGTCACTTAGCCCTATTTGCCTCAGTTTCCTTATCTATAAAATGAACTGGAGAGGGAAATGAAAAACTACTCCAGTGTATTTGCCAAGAAAACCCCATATGGGGGTCACAAAGAGTCAGGCATAACTGAAAATGACTGAATAACAATTGTTAGTAAGTTCTTCCTTACCTCAAGCCTAAATCTGCCTCTGCAACTTCTAACCATCTCTTCAGGTTCTGATTTCTGGTGCCAGTGAGAGCCAGTGTAATGCCCCTTCCATGTAAAGCTTTTGAAATACTTCAAAACAGCTATTACTGCTCACTCTTATTTCCAATGCAGAGCTATAACTTGGTCAGGAGAATGAGAGTTTTTCCCAGATCACCCAACCTCTAGGATATCCTTGGTCCACTTTGCTCCATCCCCTGGCAGTGACTTCTTAGCAGCAGCTTCAGTACATCAATGGATCTCTTCCCCAACACAGGATGGTAACCTGGGATCTTTCCCCAAAAATAGGGCTTTCTGTCCCAAGGAAGCATCTCCCTAAAGTCTCTCCCCAAGATTTCCCTGATCCTACTACCACTTGCTCCTGAAAAATGGTTAGCTACAGCTCTGCCCTGAAGCCTTCTTTCCACAAAGTAGACACCCCCAGTTCCTTCAGTAGAGCATCTTCTGGCATGATCTTGAAGCCCTTGCCCATTCTGATGGTCTTTGGGAGATCATCTGGCCCAGTGCACTTATTTTATAGAGGAGGTTACTGGGTTCTACAAAAATTAAATGACCTGTTTGAAGTCACATAGATAACAGGAGCAGACCTTGTTCCAAACCTGGTGCCCTTTCCAGTGCACCTTACTTCTGGTGCAGTCTTATTTTTGTCATTTGTCATTTGTCATTCATTCTTGTCAATAGAAGTAGTAGCACAGATAATACAAGAGAATGGCTAATACCCCCTAGGAATTTCTTCCCTGCAGGAGTTCCATCTGAGTATGAGACACAGAATCTGGAATCACTCCTAATAGGCAGAATATTGAAGTAGGCCCAAGTTGGGCACCCTCAGCTTTTCTTTGCACCACTCTGGTGTCTTCTCTCTAATCTCTTTCAGATCCCCAGGGACTTTGTTCTGTAATTCCCCTATCAATGACCTGCTCTTATGAAAGGATCTGATTTCAGTAATTTACGAATGAGTGTGAATTCGTCATTAAGTTCCATTTTACGTTTTATGTCTAATTGTAAAAGAATGGCTTTGTATCCTCTTAAAGGGATTCTAAGTATCAATAAGCAGGTAAGGCTGATATCTGAGGCCTTTTGGCACTTTCTCAGAGAAATCAAACAGTAAGTAAAGCATAGAGATGGGAGGCTGTCTTCAATTTGTGAGAAATTCCATCATTTTCCATTCTTTAGATGTATGTCTCCTTAATGAAGTCCTCCTGTTTATCCCAGTGGACAAGAGTGAGAATGATTCACAGAATGTTAGAATTGGGAGCCATCTTGAAAAGCATCCAGTGCAACCCTGCCCCTTCTCCCCCCATATTAAAAAATGAGAGGCAAAACCATCTGCCTAAGTTAGGTCATACAAGTACTGCCATTGGCAGAAGAGCAGTGGTTAAAATCCAGGTCTTCTCATTCACAGAACAAGGCTTTTTCCATTGCCTGACACTGCTGGGAAGCCAGCCACAATTTCTTGTTTGACAAACAAAAAATATTCTACATACAAGGAGCAAAAACAAAGTTGAATGTTGAGTGCTCACTACCAATAACTTTCCAATCACGTGCCATAGCCAGGTTGCAATGATTGTTTTAATAAGTATTCAGTATTTAGCTGGAAAATCGCCATGCCTGTAGTCCCTGTTCCTTCCCTTTCAAATCAGATAATTTGGCCCATAGATAATATAAAATTGCCGTATGGGTTGGAATATGGGCAAAGAATGCAAACAGACAGGACTTCACAAGAGATAACATGGAAAATGTAGACCGTCAGTTCAGGAAATGTGGCCAAGAGAAAATGGTCATGGGGCCAAGTAGGTAGTAGGTCCCAGAGCCCACAATTTCTACTGTCACTAAATCTACACATGCGTAATCCAGGCATAGACAATTAAGAACTGACTGGGTTTCAGTAGAAAGCTGGCAGAAGAGATTACCTTCTGATAATTCAGCATAATCATAATCAAAAACATTGTGGGTCATTTTATAATTTGCATATTCATAGGACAGTGAAGAAGAAACAACTAATTGCATTTATTATTCACTGTCTTGTGGGTACATTCCAGGTGAATTTGGCACACCTGAGGGAATGGTGTATTCCATGCCAGTACAATGCATGAATGGGGTGTGGTTTCCTCGTACGGATTTGCCTGATACTGAATTAACTGAAGATGTTAAGAGGGCAATAATCCATGATCTCGAACAGGTAATTTCAGAAAAGATACAAGGAAATTAATTTTGCTAATGTAATTGGAGGGTGGGCAAGGCAGAATTTGATTCCACACATATCCCAGCTTAAATGATACAGTCACAGATGACAAGGTGTTGATGTGGTAACAAAGACAAAATCCCATGATCCCTTTACAAAGTATGAACATCTCTCTCCCTCTCTCTCTCTCTCTCTCTCTGATGGATTCCGAAGGGGCAATGCAGTTGGCTGGGCTATCATCAGTTGACCATACCCTTGCAAGGTCTTAAATAGTTAAGCCTTGGAGGCAGATAATGCAATTCTAGGAGCCACCAGACAGGGAAGAACCTAGTTCTTTAGTATTAGGACAGAACCTCTGTTCCAACACTATTTCGTGTCTGATTGGCCCAAACTGTCCATGCTGGCTCCCTTCTCTGTAGCATCTACCTTTACCTATATCTTCATTCTCAGCTCCATACAACTTCTGGCAGCCTCCCCTTCTCCATATCATGTGTTATGAGAGAAATTAATATACTATTATGTTAATAATTAATTATTAATTTGTGACACACCCTTTTCCTTTTATTTCTGTTAAAAGCAAACTTCTTAAAAGGTCAGTCAGCCTCTGAAGGGCATGGCTGACTGATGAGATTGCCCCCAGCCCTTCAAGACACGTGCTCATTAAGACCCCACCCAACTTGGAGACCTAATTTCTGTTTAGAGTAAAAACAGAATCCTGTCTGGGTGAGCCTCTGCCTGGGGGAAGAACCCTCTGTCCTTGATCCCCTCCATTAGAGTTTAGGGCAACCCAACTCATGAAGGAGAAAACTAGCCATTGAGGTCCAGATGGAAATGGCTTCCCTTGCCCAGATGTTTTGAGGTGGCTGAGTCTCATGATCAAGCCATGTTCTCAGTAGGATTGGTTGAAGAATTTTAGCCTACCCTCCTCATCAAATGTCCACCAATCAGGGTTGAGTTTCACTTGTTAGGGAAGTTCCCTTTCAGAAGAGATTTGAGGCATTTCAGGGTCTTCCTTGGGGTCTTTAGTTACCAAGAGAAATCACTGACCAATTTATTGATTGTAAGCTAGTCTAATTAATAAATTGATCATTAATTACTCAGAAATTCTGTCTCTTTGGGTTTTCATTGTCACCATTTTCTATGTGTCTCATCCAGACCTAGTTTCTTCGTCAAGTCTGACCTCCTGGACTCACCTAACTAATCTTCAGTTAGGTCCCAAGGGGTGTGACCCATAAATCTTCCAACTATGATGTTGTTTCCTTATCTACTCAAGGGATTTGTATGAACCTCAAAAAGGGATCACCTGGTGTGGAAACAACTTTGCAGTTAGTTTAATACCTTGCTATCAGCTCCTTTTGTGTGATAAGATCCTGGGTTTTCAAAACCAATTCCCTTGGACTCTCTTTCTAGCTGAAGAGAGGAATTTATTTTTGACCCTGAATGTAAGAGAGAGTCACTAGTTATGAGATATGATCAAATTATGAGCTATGTCATACTATGAGGGAAATCATTAACAGTCTAGGTGAGAGGTGATAAGGGCTTGAATTTAGCTCTGTTGATATTGCACTAGTTTAAAATAGTCTCAGTGCCCAGTTTATTTCTTCCTAGCAACAATTTTTGTTGTTGATTTGATCTGGACCTATGATTTCATGCATGTGGGGAACTCCCAGTGTGAATTACCTGATGTAGATTAGCAGTTTATCTGCAATTTAGAGTCTTAGAGAGTTGTCTAGGAGACACTGAGGGGTTAGGTGACTGGGCCAAGGTTACACAACCTCTGTGTGTCAGGGGTAGAACTTTAACCCAAGTCACCCTGACTCTAAGGACAATCTTTTGGGATGGAACATGGTATACAGAGAATACTGGCTTTGGAATTGGATAACTTAGGTTCAAATTCCACCTCTGAGGCTTTGATACCTGTGTGATCTTGGACTAATCCTCCTGTGCCTCAATTTCTTCTACAAAATAGAAGAGTTAGACTAGATGGGCTTTGAGGCCTCTTCTAATCCTAGAGCTATAATCCCCAATGTACTACACCATGATGCCTCTTGAAATGGCAGCTTCATAAACCCATCATTGCTCTCTGCAAGAATCTTCAATCTAATAGGGGATCAGAAGGATCAGGATTCGAGATTTTCCTCTTGTACATAGTACCTGCATGATCATGTGCATGTCACTTAAGCTCTGTAGACTCCAGACAATATAAGTTGCTGAATCATTGTAGATCTTCACTGGCAAAGGGGCTTTCCACACCAGTAGTTGTATGTTAGGGAAATCTCCAGTTAGGACCAACAAGTCAGTGATTATTGATTATAGTATCTGTGCTTTAGTCATGTCTTTTTTTTTTTAAACAGGAAAAGCTAATTGCATTTGGAGAAGTATTAACTTACCAGCCATACATTCCAGGTAAAATTTTAGATGGAATCTTTTAAAAAAATGTTGTCACAAAAGAAATTATTGTAAGGGATATTTAAGATATGTATTTCCCAGCTAAATTTTATTGTTTTTAAAATTTAGTTTACAAAGGATCTAATCTGATGTCTCATAACAATAATAATGATAGCAACAATAATTGTATGGCACTCTGAGGTGTGGTGGTGACCCTGTGCTCTCAGAGTCTATGCCAGTGTGGTACAAGCTCTGATAAAGCTAGAAAGGTTTTTGACACGGGCCCCTTGAATAATTCTAAGCCTGTGGTTTGTAAAAACGTCATCAGGATGATTGAAGGGTAATGAACTGAATGAATAATTCAACTTAATCACTATGTGTCTTGGAATTTGCTGCCTTGGATGTTTTTTCTGAAGGTGATCTGTGAATTCTTTCAATTGGAGTTTCATCTTCTATCTACAGAAGTTCTTAGCTGTTCTCTTCTATTATTTCCTTCATTATGTCATTAAGGTTTTTGTTGTCTTGTCATGTTCTTCTGGGAGAGCTAGGATCCTTAGGTTGTCTCTATGCACTTTGTCTTCAAAATCAGTATATTTTGCTTGCATAGCAAGCATATTTTCTTCTAATATTATTGTTTTTGCTTCCCTTCTCCTAGATTGTCTTTCGCTTCTGTATATTTGCATTCCCAATCTTTAGTCTTCTCTGTTTCTTTGGTGAGATTTGCCGTCAAAGATTAAGGTTTTTCTATTCTGCCCATTATTTTTGCTGTGCAGGCCATAAATTCTGCTCTCATAGTGTTCATTTCTCTTTTGAACTGCTCAGAAACAGCATATAGTAGTTCTATGTTCTCAAATTTCAGAGGGTTCTCAGTCTCATCAAGTTCTAGATCATTGTCCTTTGCTTTGTGGTATTTATTTGTCGATTCCTGTACTCATTTAATAGATCTAGAGGTCGTATTTCCTTCTGTTGTTACTGTTTTTCCTGTTGACTTATCTATTTATCTTCATGGTCTTTGAGTTTTCTTCTTCCTGAAGTCTTTGGTAATTTTAGTCTCCCTATCACACCCTCCTCCTTATTTTTCTCATCACTCACTTTCTAACTTCTTCCCCTCTAATTGTAATTTCCTAGGGGGGTTGGATCTCAAAGTATCCCAGCCTCCTCCCACTCTGAGCAATTCACAGCAAACCCAAAAAATTAAACAGTCACTATTGTAAAGTATAAAGAATATGGTGATTTGTTCATCTATTTTTAAACTCTTCCTTTTTATTTAATTTATATATTTTACTAGCTGAACTCTTAACCACGTGAAAACAGAGTGAGAATTCAGATTGATGAAAACAAGGATGAAGATCAAAAGGAGCAAACTGGTAGTAATTGATTTAATTAAAAATTACCCATTTTCATCCCCAAATACTAATATTTAATCCTATGGGGATAAATATGCAAATCTGTTGCTTGCTCATAAAATGGGATCAAAGAATATCCCTTTCTGATCCTTCTCATAGAAAGGAGAAGATATATTTGAAATATTTTTCATTCTTCAGAAGAAAAGCACTGTTGAAGAAAACAATTGTCATTGATTTGTGCCTACTGTGTGCAAGGCTTTGTAGGGAATACAGATAAGGAATATCCCAAAGTCTTAGCTCAGTTGTAAGTTTTAATAGTTCAAAACTGCCCTAAGATGTTTGGGACACCCTGTATGTCTTAGATTTGGTTTCTACCTTTGAGAAGCTTATCCTGACTGTCATTTGGTGCAATTCCTTTTTCAAGGGATTGAGATGAGTCCCAAAAGCAGAGAGAAGAAAAGAGAAGAGGAGGTGGCATTTTAGATAGAGGAAGATATCTGCAAAACCCATGGAGGTGGCAAAGTACAAGTCATTATTTGGGGAGCAATGATTGGCCTATTTTTGCCAGAGAAGAAAGTTGGAGAAAATTAATTAGCTGAAAGTAAAACTGGAAAAGTAAATTGTGATTGTGGAAGTCCAGGTTAAGGAGTCTGGCCTCAGTAACAGTAGGTGTTTGGGAGCCATGGAAATTTTAAAAGTGGGAACTGATGCAATTGAAATAGTTTAGAAAGATTTACCTTGTCACAGTGTATAAAATGGATTGGAATAGGGAGAGATTGGATCAGGAAGGACATGGAGGAGACCATTGCAATAGTTCATGGGTGGCTGGGCTAGGGCCTGAGTGAGGGGTGAAAAGAAGTGAAAGATACAGGCGATTCTTTGAAGGAAAAAATCCTCTGACTTACTGGCATTGGATATGAGGAAGACCCAATGGCAGCTGCCCAGAGGAATCAAAGTGAGTCCTAGGTTTTGAGCCTGGACGACTGGAACAGTGCTTATACCATGAACAGAAGTGGGAGAGAGGTTAGCAAGTAGAAGTGGTTTGAGGAGTAAAGGAATGGAATAAGCATTTATATGGTACCTACTATGTGTCAGACTGTGCTAAGTTCTTTTTACAAATATTATTTCATATTGATGTTGAAATCATATTGATCCTTACAATAACTCTGCAAGGTGGGGGTATTATTATCCCCTTTTACAGTTGAAAAAACAGGCAAACAGAGGTCTTGCCTGGAGTCATACAGCTGGTAAGTGACTGAGGTCACATTTGAACTCATGTCTTCCTGACTCCAGGCTCAGGGCTCCAGCAGCTGTGCTTCCAGCTGCCTCAGGTAAAAAGATTAGTTTAAGACATAGTATTTGAAATGATGCTGGGAGGTGTGGGTAGTAAAGTCTGCCAGCCAACTGGAAATTCAGGACTGAAGTTCAGGGTTGAAAAATTCAGATTTTTAAGAGTCCTTCACATAGAACTGATCGTTAAAAATGTGTGTGAGTGCATAAGCTCTCCAAATGAAAGAGGAAATTTGAAGATAAAGAGGAGTATAAACACTTATGGGGTTGAAGAACAGAGAGAAGCTTGAAAATGTGATGTCAGAGAGGTCAGAGGTCAGGGGAACAGTTGAGGGTAAAATAATAGGATTCAAGGGAGAAGAGAGTTTTGGGAAAGACTGGGGTGATAGCATTCTATCAGGAAGTCAAAGACCAGAAAGACTGAGAAAAAAGCCATTGGATTTACTGATTTCGAGATCATTGGTGACGTTTCAGAGAACAGTTTCAGGAGAATGAAGGGGACATACTCAGTATTGTAGAGGGTTAAAGATATAGTTGATGGTGAAGAACTTGAGCAGTGAGTTTAAATCCAGGTTATTTATTATTAACATTATTTTCTGAATATAAATACCATGTAATTTTTTATGTTATGTGAGATCTGTATGTGTACACATAGCCATATTTACATATATATGGGCAGCTAGGTGGCACAGTGGATAGAGCCCCAGACCTGGAGTCAGGAAGACCTGAGTTCAAATCCAGCTTCAAACACTTACTAGCTGTGTGACCCCAGGCAAGTTACTTAACCCCATTTGCCTTAGTTTCCTCATTTGTAAAATGAACTGGAGAAGGAAATGGCAAACCACTCCAATATCTTTGCCAAGAAAACTCCAAAAAGGGTTACAAAGAGTTGAATACAACTGAAACAACTGAACAACAGACAACATACATATATAATATATATCAACATTTATTAAGCATCTACTATGTGCCAGGCACTGTGCTAAGTGCTATATGTGGGGTGGGGGGAGGAGAGAGAGAGAGAGAGAGAGAGAGAGAGAGAGAGAGAGAGAGAGAGAGAGAGAGAGAGA